GGCTTCAGACGATCAAACTTCTCTGAGCTAAAGGAGGAAGTACGAACCCAGTGCAAAGAAACTAAAAACCCTGAGAAAAGATTTGACGAATGGCTAACTGGAATAACCAATGTAGAGAAGTCCCTAAATGACCTGATAGAGATGAAAACCATGACACGAGAACTACGTGACAAATGCACAAGCTTCGGTAACCGACTCGATCAACTGGAAGAAAGAGTATCAGTGATTGAAGATCAAATGAATGAAATGAAGGGAGAAGAGAAGTTTAGAGAAAAAAGAGTAAAAAGAAATGAGCAAAGCCTCCAAGAAATATGGGATTATGTGAAAAGACCAAATCTACATCTGATTGGTGTACCTGAAAGTGGCGGGGAGAATGGAACCAAGTTGGAAAACATTCTGCAGGATATTATCCAGGAGAACTTCCCCAACCTAGCAAGACAGGCCAACATTCAAATTCAGCAAATACAGAGAATGCCACAAAGATACTCCTCGAGAAGAGCAACTCCAAGACACATAATTGGCAGATTCACCAAAGTTGAAATGAAGGAAAAAACATTAAGGGCAGCCAGAGAGAAAGGTCGGGTTACACACAAAGGGAAGCCCATCAGACTAACAGCAGATCTCTTGGCAGAAACTCTCCAAGCCAGAAGAGAGTGGGGGCCAATATTCAACATTCTTAAAGAAAAGAATTTTAAACCCAGAATTTCATATCCAGCCAAACTAAGTTTCATAAGTGAAGGAGAAATAAAATCCTTTACAGACAAGCAAATGCTGAGAGATTATGTCACCACCAGGCCTGCCCTACAAGAGCTCCTAAAGGAAGCACTAAACACGGAAAGGAACAACCAGTACCAGCCACTGCAAAAACATGCCAAATTGTAAAGACCATCGATGCTAGGAAGAAACTGCATCAACTAACAAGCAAAATAAACAGTTAACAACATAAAGACAGGATCAAGTTCACACATAACAATATTAACCTTAAATGTAAATGGGCTAAATGCTCCAATTAAAAGACAGAGACTGGCAAATTGGATAAAGAGTCAAGACCCATCAGTTTGCTGTATTCTAGAGACCCATCTCATGTGCAGAGACACACATAGGCTCAAAATAAAGGAACAGAGGAAGATCTACCAAGCACATGGAAAACAAAAAAAGGCAAGGGTTGCAATCCTAGTCTCTGATAAAACAGACTTTAAACCATGAAAGATCAAAAGAGACAAAGAAGGCCATTACATAATGGTAAAGGGATCAATTCAACAAGAAGAGCTAACTATCCTAAATATATATGCACCCAATACAGGAGCACCCAGATTCATAAAGCAAGTCCTTAGAGACTTACAAAGAGACTTAGACTCCCACACAATAATAACGAGAGACTTTAACACCCCACTGTCAACATTAGACAGATCAACGAGACAGAAAGTTAACAAGGATATCCAGGAATTGAACCCAACTCTGCAGCAAGCAGACCTAATAGACATCTACAGAACTCTTCACCCCAAATCAACAGAATATACATTCTTCTCAGCACCACATCGCACTTATTCCAACATTGACCACATAGTTGGAAGTAAAGCACTCCTCAGCAAATGTAAAAGAACAGAAATTATAACAAACTGTCTCTCAGACCACAGGGCAATCAAAGTAGAACTCAGGATTAAGAAACTCAGTCAAAACCGCTCAACTACATGGAAACTGAACAACCTGCTCCTGAATGACTACTGGGTACATAATGAAATGAAGGCAGAAATAAAGATGTTCTTTGAAACCAATGAGAACAAAGGTACAACATACCAGAATCTCTGGGACATATTTAAAGCAGTGTGTAGAGGGAAATTTATAGCACTAAATGCCCACAAGAGAAAGCAGGAAAGATCTAAAATGGACACCCTAATATCACAATCAAAAGAACTAGGGAAGCATGAGCAAACACATTCAAAAGCTAGCAGAAGGCAAGAAATAACTAAGATCAGAGCAGAACTGAAGGAGATAGAGACACAAAAAACCCTCCAAAAAATCAATGAATCCAGGAGCTGGTTTTTTGAAAAGATCAACAAAATTGATAGACCGCTAGCAAGACTAATAAAGAAGAAAAGAGAGAAGAAATCAAATAGACAAAACAAAAAATGATAAAGGGATATCACCACCAACCCCACAGAAATACAAAGTACCATCAGAGAATACTATAAACACCTCTACACAAATAAAATAGAAAACCTAGAGGAAATGGATAATTTCCTAGACAATTACACTCTCCCAAGACTAAACCAGGAAGAAGTTAAATCCCTGAATGGACCAATAGCAGGCTCTGAAATTGAGGCAATAATTAATAGCCTACCAACCAAAAAAAGTCCAGGACCAGACGGATTCACAGCCGTATTCTATCAGAGGTACAAGGAGGAGTTGGTACCATTCCTTCTGAAACTATTCCAATCAATAGAAAAAGAGGTAATCCTCCCTAGCTCATTTTATGAGGCCAACATCATTCTGATACCAAAGCCTGGCAGAGACACACACACACACACAAAGAGAATTTTAGACCAATAACCCTGATGAACATCCATGCAAAAATCCTCAATAAAACACTGGCAAACGAAATCCAGCAGCACATCTAAAAGCTTATCCACCATGATCAAGTGGGCTTCATCCCTGGGATGCAAGGCTGGTTCAACATTCGCAAATCAATAAATGTAATCCAGCATATAAACCGAACCAAAGACAAAAACCACATGATTATCTTAATAGATGCAGAAAAGGCCTTTGACAAAATTTAACAGCCCTTCATGCTAAAAACTCTCAATGAATTCGGTATTGATGGAACGTATCTCAAAATAATAAGAGCTATTTATGACAAACCCACAACCAATATCATACTGAATGGGCAAAAACTGGAAGCATTCCCTTTGAAAACTGGCACAAGACAGGGATGCCCTCTCTCACCACTCCTATTCAACATAGTGTTGGAAGTTCTGGCTAGGGCAATCAGGCAAGAGAAAGAAATCAAGGGTATTCAGTTAGGAAAAGAAGAAGTCAAATTGTCCCTGTTTGCAGATGACATGATTGTATATATTGAAAACCCCATCATCTCAGCCCAAAATCTCCTTAAGCTGATAGCAACTTCAGCAAAGTCTCAGGATACAAAATCAATGTGCAAAAATCACAAACATTCTTACACACCAGTAACAGACAAACAGAGAGCTAAATCATGAATGAACTCCCATTCACAATAGCTTCAAAGAGAATAAAATACCTAGGAATCCAATTTACAAGGGGTGTAAAGGACCTCTTCAAGGAGAACTACAAACCACTGCTCAGTGAACTAAAAGAGGACACAAACAAATGGAAGAATATACCATGCTCATGGATAGGAAGAATCAATATTGTGAAAATGGCCATATTGCCCAAGGTAATTTATAGATTCAATGCCATCCCCATTAAGGAAACAATGACTTTCTTCACAGAATTAGAAAAAACTGCTTTAAACTTCATATGGAACCAAAAAAGACCCCGCATTGCCACGACAATCCTAAGGCAAAAGAACAAAGCTGGAGGCATCACGCTACCTGACTTCAAACTATATTACAAGGCTACAGTAGCCAAAACAGTAGGGTACTGGTACCAAAACAGAGATATAGACCAATGGAACAGAACAGAGCCCTCAGAAACAATACCACACATCTACAGCCATCTGATCTTTGACTAACCTGACAAAAACAAGAAATGGGAAAAGGATTCCCTATTTAATAAATGGTGCTGGGAAAATTGGCTAGCCATAAGTAGAAAGCTGAAACTGGATCCTTTCCTTACTCCTTATACGAAAATTAATTCAAGATGGATTAGAGACTTAAATATTAGACCTAAAACCATAAAAACCCTAGAAGAAAACCTAGGTAATACCATTCAGGACACAGGCATGGGCAAGGACTTCATGTCTAAAACACCAAAAGCAACGGCAACAAAAGCCAAAATTGACAAATGGGATCTAATTAAACTAAAGAACTTCTGCACAGCAAAAGAAACTACCATCAGAGCGAACAGGCAACCTACAGAATGGGAGAACATTTTTGCAATCTACTCATCTGACAAAGGGCTAATATCCAGAACCTATAAAGAACTCAATCAAATTTACAAGAAAAAAACAACCCCATCAAAAAGTGGGCAAAGGATATGAACAGACACTTCTCAAAAGAAGACATTCATACAGCCAACAGACACATGAAAAAATGCTCATCATCACTGGCCATCAGAGAAATGCAAATCAAAACCATAACGAGATACCATCTCATCCCAGTTAGAATGGCAATCATTAAAAAGTCAGGAAATAACAGGTGCTGGAGAGGATGTGGAGAAATAGGAACACTTTTACACTGTTGGTGGGAGTGTAAACTAGTTCAACCATTGTGGAAAACAGTGTGGCGATTCCTCAAGGATCTAGAGCTAGAAATGCAATTTGACCCAGCCATCCCATTACTGGGGATATATCCAAAGGATTATAAGTCATGCTGCTACAAAGACACATGCACTTGTATGTTTATTGCAGCAGTATTTACAATAGCAAAGACTTGGAATCAACCCAAATGCCCATCAGTGACAGACTGGATTAAGAAAATTTGGCACATATACACCATGGAATTCTATGAAGCCATAAAAAAGGATGAGTTGATGTCCTTTATAGGGACATGGATGCAGCTGGAAATCATCATCCTCAGCAAACTCTCGCAAGAAGAGAAAACCAAATACCGCATGTTCTCACTCATAGGTGGGAATTGAACAATGAGATCACTTGGACACAGGAAGGGGAACATCACACACCGGGTCCTATTGTGGGGAGGGGGATGGGGGGAGGGAGAGCATTAGGAGATATACCTAATGTAAATGATGAGTTAATGGGTGCAGCACACCAACATGGCACATGTATACATATGTAACAAACCTGCACATTGTGCACATGTACACTAGAACATAAAGTATCATAAAAATATAAATAAATAAAATTGCAGCAAAAAAGCACTAGCAATTGCTTATAGAAATATACCTATTTGCTTTCAGTTACGCCTTCCTCTTTTAGATTATGGAACCCTAGAGACAACCGTTATTTTATTCCTTTTACAGTGTCTTGTATTGTAGCTAGCTCCAAGGTAGAATCACCAAAAACTAAATGTTTGTTGAATGAATAAACATCAGTCAACCCATCTGCCTTAGTAGTTAGAGCATAGCAAACGTATGACTGAGGTTCACAAATCTCATTTCTTCTATTGAATATCAATTCTAAAAGATATAGGAGATTTGCCAAAATTCAGAGGCTGAAATCAGTATTTTTCAATAAATTACTTTCTTTCCATTCAGCTTTTTTCCCCTACAGAATTAAGCAGAAAGCAATTCTATATGAGCTTCTAGTTCTGATTAACTATGGTGATCCTGAGGTTTTGGAGTTTTAATTTCAAGAGCCATTAAAATATCTGAAAAGGGACAATTTTTAAAGTTCCTTGAATCATACGTTGTTCATACACTTTGTTGGGAGACATAAAATAATATAGAAGTTTGTGGAAGAGTCAAAACAATAGTCAACCAGCAAAAATCAAATGTAATAGAATATTAAGAGCTCAAGGTTTAGAGTCAGAGTTCAAATCTTGGATCTGTCACTTACCAGCTGTGTGACCTCATGCCACTGAACTGCTCTGTGCCTCAGTTTCCTTAACTGTAAGTGGGGACACTAATGCCTGTCTCATAAAACAGCAGAGTGCCTGAAAAATAACAAACACTCAGTAAATGGTGTATGTTAATAACAATAACAATGGCAACAATAACAATAATTTGGGAAAACAAATTTGATCTTTCCTTTAGTGTCAGTAATCAAGATGTAAAAGTCCTCATGAATTACAAAGCAATCACAATTTGAGTTCTAATAGAATCAGTAACTTACCCATGAAGAAAATAAACAAATGGTTCAAGATAGGGTGATATTTCATTAAGCTTTCTTCCTATGCATCATTGCTTTCTGATAAATTTTTTCGATACATTTCCTAAAATGACACTATTCTGAAGTATTATCGCATGCCTTGAAGGTAAAGGGGAATGCTTTGGGATAAAAGTTTTTATGAATAATGGTCCTAGCTCCAGAATTGAAGGCTAAAATAACTTGAAACATCATGGTCTCAAACTCAGTCATTTTAGAGATTTTTAAAACTGACTTGAAAACAAAAAGAAAACAAAAACTCACTAAAGTAAACTAAGCTGAGAACTGGAGGCCTGAAGTTTATAATAAAGTGAAGTTTGTAATTTTCCTGAAATTAAGAGTGAGTCAAGTAAAGAGACTCCCAGTCCTCACTCCAGGATGCTGTCAGCAGAATGTGCTGAATAGTTCAATTGACATGACTGGGATGCCATTTACCTTGAGTGCAGTCAAGGGGAGGCAAAGAACCAAAAAGTCACCTCATTGAAACAGATCAGTTAGGTAGACCATTAGTTACATAGATGAGCATTTGTAAAACGTGGAGCAACTAACAAAGGTAAGGAAAGTTTGGAGCCCATTGAAAATCAATGTTGGTGTCAAAATCAAAACCCTAACAAATGAAATAACCTAAAGTGAAGGTCCACAGACTACATAAAAATAATTTTTTTTTTAACTTTAAAATGTGAGCATTCTGAGGAGAGAAATTGTGCAGACCTTGCCTTACTAAGGTAGGGGACAGTGGCTGACCTCACACAGAGACAACTTGTCACATGTACTTCTCAACTAAGATCTCAAGGTTTTCAGAGATCCTTCAGAACTGCGATGGTTCTCTTTGATAACCCTAGTTGGCCTACTAAAGTACAAGCTGCCTACTTTGACCTCTTTCCCAACTAACTAATCAGTTTTCCCCAAAATGTGAACCAACATTCATTGTTCCTAAGCTGGTTTTTCTCTCTCTCTTCTCTCATATAAAGCCACTTTTTGTCTTCTTTATTCTTTGACAATACTCCATAGATCATTTTACGCATAACTAAATGTGCATGCAAATGATTAAACATGCTTGATAAATGCTGAGTATTGAAATGTTGTATCCACTTCCACTGGAAAAACTGACATTTATGCAGTGGTTATTAACTTTTATGATACCATCAACACTGTATTGGTGTGACATGGTTGTAATGAGCCTAAGCAATACTTGGCAATCTGAGAACCCAGTCCTTGAATGCCAGTAATGGGAAGCCTGTTGCAGATAGCACAGAAGTACTATGAAACTGCAGTCTATCAAGAAGAACAATTCTCAGGAGAGGTTCGAATCAACTTTTAGAATGTGTAGAGGGAAAATCCCATTTACCATTGAGTGGCTTGATTGCTGCCCAAATTTGTTTATTAAGAAATACCATTGGCCGGGCGTGGTGGCTCACGCCTGTAATCCCAGCACTTCGGGAGGCCGAGGTGGGCAGATCATGAGGTCAGGAGTTTGAGACCAGCCTGGCCAATAATGGTGAAACCCTGTCTCTACTAAAAATGTAAAAATTAGCCGGGCATGGTGGTGGCATGTGCCTGTAGTCCCAGCTACTTGGGAAGCTGAGGCAGGAGAATATCTTGAACTCAGGAGGCAGAGGTTGCAGTGAGCCGAGATTGCGCCACCACTACACTCCAGCCTGGGCAATAGAGGGAGATTCTATCTCAGAAAAAAAAAAAATCATTAAACTTTGCAATGATGCTGCGGTATATAAGCAAGAATTTGGTCAGGCTATGCCTGATCTCTTACTTCATACTTTTCCAGGAATGTTGAAAGAATGAAATATGCCTGAAATTAATGACCTTGCACATTGTGTACCTGAACATGGTCAGTGGTTTGACATAGGTTAGTCAGGACTAATGAGAATGTCATCAGTGGGGTTAAAGATGTAAAAAGCAAAGAATACACAATGATGTAAAACATCAAGGCATAAAGGCAAGAACAAAGAAACAAACAAAAACAAATTTCATGTAGTCAAACTATGGTCCATATACAGAAGCCTGGTATCTATAAATGATCATATGCATCCTGTCCTAATATGAGAAAAATGCCTTGGAACATTCAAAAAACATGATTTGGGGTTCAATACATTAAATTTGTCTATATTTTAACCATGTTGAATTTTAAAAATCCTTAGAAGTGAGCCTCTCTAAAATAAGACTAAACTAAAATACTCTGCTCCCAGATGGATGTTCGGTCTGGATTGTAGCCCTTAATTGTTTACTGACAATCTCCCCACCCCCAAGCTCCTTCCCTCCTGCTCCCCTTCTCTTGAAATGCTTTAACCCAAACTCAAAAACTTTTCGACATTTAAGGACCTTTCTACATGCTCTGTTCTCAGGCAAAATTTCCTATCCTCTATGCACTAACTTGTGAATTCCCACTTACCCTTTAAGATCAACATAGAACACAGGCAAGGTGGGCCCTGGAGTGAAGTGGACTGAGATAGAAATCCTGGCTCTACCCATGTAGACATTTGCCCTGGTGCAAGTTGCTTTACCTCTGGAAACCTCTGTTTCCTTATTTATAAAAAGGCAATAATGATGCTACTTGATGGTTGTTGTAAAACTTATATACTGCACCAACTCTTTGGCCAAAGCTCCTCCAGGTAGTACATATTCCACAGCTGTGTCTTTCCTTCTAATGGCTTAATTTGAGCAACATTAGGCAACCATCCCTAAATTTCTAAAATATTTTATATCCACTTAAGCATCTATCAACTTGTACTTTTAAAATCTTGTCTGTATCCCCAAATAGTGTGTAAATTCTTTCAGACAAGAGACTCTTTCACCCATATTTGTATTTGCATTACACCGAACACACTGACTGGCACATAGGTGCTCAATCAATGTCTACAATGGCTGCTCCATCAGTGTTTACTGAATGAATAATGGATGGTTGAATGATTATTTCCAGTTTATAAATCATAGGGGGAAAAAGCAGATGATGTTATAAGTCTCCTTTCAAGCTGCTTTTCATCTGGCTTTTCCACAGGACTATATACTGTCTAGGACACAGATCTACAACTAGGCACACTTCTGCACATGGGCACTGCTATGGCCTGAGTATGTCCCTCCAAAACTCCTTCTGAAACCTAATCCCCCTTGGTGATATTAAGATGTGGGGCCTTTGGAAAGTGATTAAGTCATGAGGGTCCACCCTCATAAATGGGATGAGCACCCTAATAAAAGAGGTTGAAGGAAGCTCCCCTTCACACTCCACCATGTGAAGACACAGTGCTCCCCGCTTTCCACCATGCGAGGGTGCAACAAGAAGGCACTATGTTTGAAGCAGAGTGATCCCTCACCAGACACCCAGTCTGTTGGCACTTTAATCTTGGATTTCCCAGTCTTCAGAACTGTAAGCAACACATTTCTATTGTTTACAAGGTAAGGTAATTTGTTATAACAGCTGAAATGGACTGAGACAAGAATACATGCCCTTTTTTCTTTGTTACTAAGTCAAATCAAACTAAATGCCGAATGAAATAATATTATTTTATAAAGCTAGAATGTAACATCAAAAACTAACAGTAAAACACTCTAACCATATAAAACACTATTTTCACCAATTGCATTTTTTTGAATGGTCAATCTTCCTCAAGGTTCATTCTGCAAAGCCACATTGACCTCACAACCCATCCTAAGTGGAGGGTTCCAAAGCATCCTGTTGCAAAGCACCTCGACAGTCATTAAGCTCAAAGACATATTTGGTTATTAGAATACCTAATTAGGAAAATAACAGCCCCTGACCATTTCCTTATCTTACTTTATCTAGATAGTTCATAAAAGTATACTTCATTACCTCAGTCCTATATTCCAAATAAATTTCATAAACCAGACACTTAAAATATTACACAGTATAGTCCTGGAACATGTGTGCATTCTTTATAAATCCTAATCATAGTTTTCCTAATCAGGTACATGTGATTTCTCTCTGGATCCTCAATTAACAGTTCTATATAGCCCAATATTCCTGAACAATGACAGTAATGATTTTTTTTTACTTAATTTTTTTTTTTTTTTTTTTTTTTTTTGAGACGGAGTCTCGCTCTGCCGCCCAGGCTGGAGTGCAGTGGCCGGATCTCAGCTCACTGCAAGCTCCGCCTCCCGGGTTTACGCCATTCTCCTGCCTCAGCCTCCCGAGTAGCTGGGACTACAGGCGCCCGCCACCTCGCCCGGCTAGTTTTTTGTATTTTTTTTTTTAGTAGAGATGGGGTTTCACCGTGTTAGCCAGGATGGTCTCGATCTCCTGACCTCGTGATCCGCCCGTCTCGGCCTCCCAAAGTGCTGGGATTACAGGCTTGAGCCACCGCGCCCGGCCTTTTACTTAATTTTTGCAATTAAAAAATATTGAGCTAATAAATAAACAGAAAAGTCTCTTAATGAATACTTGCCTACGAAAAGATCATCTTTAATTTTAGCATTAATCATGAGGCCAGGAGTGTATACTGCATGGATTTAATGATAATTTGGGGTTGTGTTTGAATTACTATAATTGCTTCCTTGTGGGTCAAAGTGTCTACAGATTTTCATTCCTTTATTCTATACATCCTGACCTCTCAAAACTCAACTTTTTTTTACATTGCCCACTTGCTTCCTCCTAACACACACAGAAATATACCATTTTCCAGCGTTCAGTCCCACTCAAGCCCTGCCAGCATACTCCCCTAATATTATCCAATTCAAACCTGCTACTCTGCCACACCACTTTTCTTGGTTCACTCCATTGCTCTTCTTCATTAAAAGCTTTGAGCCGCCACACACACT